CATTCTATAGAACGACTCAGCTACCCCTTGCCTTGCGCACACACACATTATCCCCCCACACTTTCTCTTCTCTTCCAGATCGTTGAGAGGAGCAGGGAGTGTCGGCACGACGCATACCGCATTCCAGCAGCCGGTGTGGGAGATCACACAAACAATTCCGCACTCCCCCTCTGTTGACTCGTGTCCTTCCCCCCTCTTCACACTCATTCCCACAACCCCCTACATCAGATCGTTGAGAGGAGCAGGGAGTGTCTGCATGATGCATCCCGCATTCCAGCAGCAGGCGTGGGAGAGTACGCAGCAGCACTGGCAGCGGTGGCAGTGATGGAAGAGCTCTCGTCCCACGACCTGCTCTCTCTCTTCCTCAACGCCCGTAGAGCCTGCCTGCGCTCCCAGGTATGTGTGTGCGTGTGGCTCCTTCTCTCTCTATGTGGAGTGAGATTGAGGAGTGGAGATTGAGGAGTGGAGATTGAGGAGTGGAGATTGAGGAGTGGAGATTGAGGAGTGGAGATTGAGGAGTGGAGATTGAGGAGTGGAGATTGAGGAGTGGAGATTGAGGAGTGGAGATTGAGGGGTGGAGATTGAGGAGTGGAGGTTGAGGAGTGGAGATTGAGGAGTGGAGATTGAGGAGTGGAGATTGAGGAGTGGAGATTGAGGAGTGGAGATTGAGGAGTGGAGATTGAGGAGTGAGGAGTGGAGATTGAGGAGTGAGGAGTGGAGATTGAGGAGTGGAGATTGAGGAGTGGAGATTGAGGAGTGGAGATTGAGGAGTGGAGATTGAGGAGTGGAGGTTGAGGAGTGGAGATTGAGGAGTGGAGATTGAGGAGTGGAGATTGAGGAGTGGAGATTGAGGAGTGGAGATTGAGGAGTGGAGATTGAGGAGTGGAGATTGAGGAGTGGAGATTGAGGAGTGGAGATTGAGGAGTGGAGATTGAGGAGTGGAGATTGAGGAGTGGAGATTGAGGAGTGGAGATTGAGGAGTGGAGATTGAGAAGTGGAGGTTGAGGAGTGGAGATTGAGGAGTGGAGATTGAGGAGTGGAGATTGAGGAGTGGAGATTGAGGAGTGGAGATTGAGGAGTGGAGATTGAGGAGTGGAGATTGAGGAGTGGAGATTGAGGAGTGGAGATTGAGGTGGAAATTGACTTGAGAGAGTGAGTATGAGAGTACGCAGCAGCGCTGGCAGCTGTGGCGGTGATGGAAGAGCTCTCTTCCTCGACACCAGTAGAGCGCCTGCGCTGCGCTCCCAGGTGTATGTGTATGTGGGTGCGCGTGTCTTTGTCTGTCTGTTGCTGCTGGTGTGCAGTGGCCGGGTGTGAGTGAGAAGGAGGGTATACCGCAGCGCACGATTTGCTCGACCTCTTTCTTGACGCCCGTGGAGCATGCTTGTGCTCCCAGGTGGGTTTGTGGGGTAAGAGAGTTGGAGAAGAGATTGGCGGGGCACGCAGTACTTGTGGCAGCGGTGGCAGTGATGAAAGGGCTCTCGTTTCATGACCTCCTCACCCTCTTTCTTGACGCCCGTGGAGCATGCCTGTGCTCCCAGGTGCATGTATCCGTCTGTCTGTCTGTCTGTCTGTCTGTCTGTCTGTCCGTCCGTCTGTCTGTCTGTCTGTCTGTCTGTCTGTCTGTCTGTCTGTCTGTCTGTCTGTCTGTCTGTCTGTCTGTCTGTCTGTCTGTCTGTCTGTCTGTCTGTCTGTCTGTCTGTCTGTCTGTCTGTCTGTCTGTCTCTCGCCGTCTTGCCACTTCCTTCCGCCCGCCCTCTTGCCATTTTCTCCCGTCCTCCTGCCACTTCCTCCCGCCCTCCTCCCACTTTCTCCCGCCTTCCAGGCACTTTTTCCTGCCTTCCTGCCACTGGCTCATGCATTAAGAATGTGGGACCGAGGGTAGGAGGAACGCGGGAGGACGTGGCAGGAGAGTGGGAGAAGTTGGCATGAGGGCGGGAGGAAGTGGCGAGGATGTTTGCTACTCCGTCTGTCCGTCCATCTGTCTTCTGTCTGTCTGTCTGTCTGTCTGTCTGTCTGTCTGTCTGTCTGTCTGTCTGTCTGTCTGTCTGTCTGTCTGTCTGTCTGTCTGTCTGTCTGTCTGTCTGTCTGTCTGTCTGTCTGTCTGTCTGTCTGTCTGTCTGTCTGTCTGTCTGTCTGTCTGTCTGTCTGTCTTTCTGACTTTCGCCCCTCCCCTCCTCCTCCCATTTCTCTACCCTTACCCCACCCCTTTCTTTTCTCCCTCTCTTGCTTTGCATATGTGTGGAAAGAGAAAGGGCAAGGATGAGAGAGTATGCGGCAGCGCAGTGATCCCATTCCCTCCCACCCCTTCCATTACCTCCCAACCCCTCTCATGCCCGTCCTCCCTCCATTCCTCCCTGTTGCAGCTCGCCTCTGCCACCTTCAGCTCTGGGCGACGGGGGCAGCCTCGCAGATGGGCTAGTGCAAACCAGTCCCCTCGCAGATGGGCTAGTGCAAACCAGTCCCCTCGCAGATGGGCTAGTGCAAACCAGTCCCCTCGCAGATGGGCTAGTGCAAACCAGTCCCCTCGCAGATGGGCTAGTGCAAACCAGTCCCCTCGCAGATGGGCTAGTGCAAACCAGTCCCCTCGCAGATGGGCTAGTGCAAACCAGTCCCCTCGCAGATGGGCTAGTGCAAACCAGTCCCCTCGCAGATGGGCTAGTGCAAACCAGTCCCCTCGCAGATGGGCTAGTGCAAACCAGTCCCCTCGCAGATGGGCTAGTGCAAACCAGTCCCCTCGCAGATGGGCTAGTGCAAACCAGTCCCCTCGCAGATGGGCTAGTGCAAACCAGTCCCCTCCCTCCCAACCCCTCTCATCCCCTTGCATCCTGTCCCAACCCTTCTCATGCCCGCCCTACCTCCACTCCTCCCTGTTGCACCTTGCCTCTGCCGCTTCAGCTCTGGGCGCCGGGGGGGGGGGGGGGGGGGGGGGGTGGTGGGGGGGGGAGGGGGGGTTTGCTGATGTGCTAGCACAAACCAGTCCCCTCCCACCCCCTCTCATCCCCTCTCATCCTGTCTCAACCCCTCAACCCCTCTCATGCCCGCCCTCCACTCCTCCCTCCCTGTTGCAGCTCGCCTCTGCCACCTTAGCTCTGGGCGCTGGGGGGAGTTTTGCTGATGCGCTAATGCGAACCAGTCCCCTCCCACCCCCTGTCATCCCCTCTCATCCTTTCCCAACCCCTCCCAACCCCTCTCATGCCCGCCGTCCCCCCACTCCTTCCTGTTTCAGCTCGCCTCTATCACATCAGTTCTAGGGGGGCCAACAAGCTGCGCAGATGAGCTAGCAAGCATTGACCTTTGAGAATTCTCAAAATTCGCACCAAGTCAGCTTCGCGGATGAGCTAGCTACCATTGAGCGATTTGATTCGAAAGGTTCCCTCCTCTCCTGCCATCTCGTTCCATCCTTCCACGCTCTCCACTCCCCCCCGATGCAGCTCGCCTCTGCCACCTTAGCTCTGGGCGCTGGGGGGAGTTTTGCTGATGCGCTGGCAGCACTGCTCAGCCAGCTGGTAGCTCTGATTCAGGTATACCAGCGGCAGGAGGTATATCAGCGGTAGCAGGTATACCAGTTTTAACAGCAGGTATGGCTACGGCAGCAGGCAGCTCACGTAGCTGGGATTTTTTTCACGCCCCTCCTTTCTCTCTTCACTACTTCCTTTCATTACCGTACCTGCCAACCAATAGCATTCCTCGCTTCTTCCTTTCAGACCTCCCAACCAACCACCTCCCTTCACACCTTCCAACCGTCCCGCAAAACTCCCAACCCCCTCTAACCCGCTTTCCTCTCGTCAGCTCACCCTGTGCCAGACGGGGCAGCTTTTCCTGGAAGTTTCCTCAGCTGAAAGGGCGGTGCTTCTTTGGGTGCTGCTGTAGGGAGCAACCTGCCGCCCCTAAACCTCAAAATGTATTCCCCAAACCCCCCCATTTCCCACCCACCCGCCATCGCCGCCACCAGCTCACGCTGTGCCAGACGGGACAGCTGTTTCTGGAGGTTTCTTCAGCTGAACGAGCAGTGCTGCTGGGGGTGCTGCTGCAGGGAGCACCACAGGCGCAGCTGTTTGGCGGCATCCCACGCCCCGACGGGGAGCTGGCGCTCTGGCACACACACAGGGACGCTCTAGAGGCCAGGCTCCCGTCTCTCAGCAGCAAGGAGGTGGCAGACGCGTGCCAAGACTGGCTGAAAGCATGCGCTGCTGATATTGCTGGTGAGTATGGAAGGTGTACTCTCGTTTCTGGGAAGAGCATGCACCAGCCAGCCCCGACAGGGAGGGAGCTGGCGCTCTGGCACACACACAGGAACGCGCTGGAAGCCCGGTTGCCGTCTTTGAGCAGCAAGGAGGTGGCCGAGGCGTGTCAAGACTGGCTCAAGGTGTGCGCTGCTGACATTGCTGGTAAGTCTGGCGGTGGGCGTAGCCTTCTTTTCTCGAGAAGGGCAGACTCTGGTATCTGGGAGGAAGCATACTGTACCCCACTCAGCCCGACAGGGAGCTGGCGGCGCTCTGGCACACACAAAGGGACGCGCTGGAAGCCCGGTTGCCGTCTTTAAGCAGCAAGGAGGTGGCAGAGGCGTGCCAAAACTGGCTGAAAGCATGCGCTGTTGACATTGCTGGTGAGTATGGAAGGCATACTCTCGTTTGAGGCGTCTGGAAGCCCACCTGCCTTCTTTGAGACGTGCCAGGGGTGGCTCAAGGTGTGCGCTGCTGACATTGCTGGTGAGTTCTGATTTGAGAGGGGCATACCCCACCCAGACAGCAAGGAGGTGGCAGGCAGAGGCGTGCCAGGGGTGGCTCAAGGCGTGCTCTGCTGACATTGCTGGTGAGTCCGTCTCAAAGGCATACTCTCGCTTTATAGAAGCACCCACCCCACCCACACTCCCCAGCCTCTCACCAGCTGACTTCAAGAACCTGCTTTGCAGAGTCATCTCTATGACATTTGACTCGACTGAAATTAAAAGACGGGGAGGGAGCGCAGCATATTTCCTCCTTTTCTCCCACTCTTCCCGCACTCGCCTCACTCCCCACTCCCCTCACTCCCCACTCCCACCATCTTCCTTCCAGCTGAGTCCAAGAGCCTTCTCAGCAGGGTGACCCAGATCCGCCACCTGGCGCAAGCAGAGGCCGCCACGCGTGCAGCGATCACCAACAAGGACATCTTTGCTGCCAGCCTGGACTGGCTGACGTCAGCCTTCGGCTGTCCCCCGGAATCCCCCTGGCGCGCCCTGTGCGAGCTGCTACTGAAAGAGCCCAAGGACCTATGGAGCGAGTTGTTTGAGGCCGCGTTCGCACTTAGAGCGCGGGAGATTATTGACGGGGCGTTTGCGGGATTGACGCTGAGGGAGGAGATTGACGGGGTGTTGAGGGAGGTGGGGGATGTGGTGGCTGTGGCAGCCGTGGTTTCAGCACAGAATGCTGCTGCTGCTGCTGCTGCTGGTACTGGTGCTGGTGCTGCTGGTGTTGGCGCTGCAGGTGGTGGTGCTGCTGTGGTTACGGCTGCTGCTCGTGCTATTGCCAGTGAGAAAGCAGCAGGTTTGGCAGGAGGAAACAGGAGGTTCGGGGCAGGTTGGGCGACACTACCCCCTCTCACTGACGTTATAGGCCAAGCAGGGTTCGAAGAGACAGGCGGGTTTGCTGTTGGGGAGGCAGTATGGGGCAGCCCGGGAGAGGAGCTGGGTGCGGTGGGGCTGGGTAAAGGTGGGGGAGCAGGAGGAGCAGGTGGAGAGGGGAAGGAGGGTGGGAAAGAGGGTGGGAAGGAGGGTGGGCGGGGGAACGGAGAGGCAGTTTTGCGTGGCACGCAAGTGTATGAGCCACAGGTAGCGGTGGTATGGCAACAGCTACACTCCAAAATTCAGGAGATTCTGCTAGATGCCCTCACTCTCCTCCTCCCTCACTCTGCACTCGCTCCCTCTGCCCATCCCTCCACCACCTCCTCCTCCTCCTCCTCCTCTTCATTGAATTCTTCTGCCCCCGCCTCTGCCGCCGCTGCTTCGGCAGCTTCGTCGGCGTCCCGAACCAAGGAGTTGGCCCCGTACCTGCAGGATCGGTGCCACGAGTGTGTGATGCGGCTGGTTAGGCTGCTGGCAAGCAGGCTCGGCGACCTGCAGAAGCAGCAGCAGCAGGCAGAGGAGGCAGAGCAAGCTGAGAAGACGGAGAAGGGGGAAAGGAGAGGAGCACGAGAGAACGGCAGTGTTGAGAACAGCTCGGAAAGTGCGGCAGCAACAGCAGCAGGGGAACGAACAGGAAATGGGTCAGGAGGAGTGTTGGATGCAGGATCACGATCCAACGGCCCAGATGCAGCGATTGCTGCTGGGAGGTTATCCGCGCAAGTGGCGGTCGAACAGGCTCTTCTGATTGGCCGGCTGGCAGCGGCTGTAGCGCAGAGTTCCTCCTCCCTAGCTGTGGCGCTTGGCCCTAGCTCCACCTGGCCAGCTGTAGCAGCAGCTGCTGCCGCTACAGCAGGCGGCTATACCGCTGCTTCGGCTGAATCAACTGCTTCAAGAGTAGCCTCAGAAGCTAGTACTGGGGCGGTTTATAATGGGGATGCTGAGAGGGATGGGTCGAGGGCTGGGGAGCCAGTTCTGCAGTGGCCCTCTCAGGAGGTTGTGGGGAGTATTATCGCAGCAGCAGTGGCAGGAGGGGGCAGTGGTAGCAGCGGGAGTGGCGGTGGCGGTGGTGGTGGGTTGAGCTGGATGGGTGGTGGTGGTGTGGGGTTAGGAGTGGGAGGGGGTTCAGGCAGGAGGGGTGGGAGGAGAGTGACGGATCTTGCTGCTGTTGCGGCGAGATCACCTGAGTTCGCTCGGCTACATGAGATTCAAGTGAGTCATTTCGTTGTAACTCCTATGTGTCGTCTCTCTGCCGTGCTGTGCCCCCCACTCCCCTCCAGCCATTTGCAGTTGCTCAGTTTGCTTTCACCTCGACCCTTGGATATCTTGCTTCTAACCCCAAGGTGCTCTCCCAAGGTGCTCTCCCAGGATGCTCTCCCCAGATGCTTCTAACCCCAAGGTGCTCTCCCTAGGTGCTCTCCCAGGATGCTCTCCCGAGAAGACCACGGATGCGAAGAAAAGGGTCACGGGGCAAAGGCTTGGTCCCAATGTCAGCGAGGTTGTCTTGAGTAGGAACATAGTGAAGGGTGATGGAGTGGTCGGCAACATGATCGCGAATGAAATGGTGCTTGATGTCGATGTGCTTGGCCTTGGGATGAAAGACGCCATCGTCCTTGGCGAGAATGATGGCACAGTTGTTGTCACACGAGATACGGGTGGGGCCGGTAGGGGGAAGTCCAACTGCAGTAAGGAGCGAACGAAGCCATAATGCCTCGTGCACCGCGGCGCCCAGAGAGTAATATTCAGCTTCACATGAAGAGGTAGCAACGACGGCTTGGCGTTTTGACTGCCAAGAGATGAGTGACGGACCGAGGAAGAACAAGTAGCACGTAACGGAGCGACGCAGCTCCCCCTCCGGTCCCCAAGAGGCGTCACACCAGCCATGAAGTTCGAGGGTGTCGGGAATGCCACCAAGGAGAAGCCCAAGGGAGGTAGTCCCTTTCAAGTAGCGAGCAATGCGTTTGGCAGCCGAGACGTGAGGAGTAGACCAATCGTGAAGGTGACGAGCAAGAACTCCAGCGCTATATGCGAGGTCGGGACGGGTCCCCACCATGGCATACATGATGGAGCCGACAAACGAGGTGTAAGGGAAGGAGGAGGAGTGCGGGGAGGAAGTCACGGGTGGCTGAAACTTTGTGTCCATGGGAGTGGCAGCGGGGTTCAGTGGAGAGAAGGAGTAGGTGTCTAGAATGGAGGTGATGAATTTGGATTGATGAAGGTGGAGAGTGCGGGAAGTTCGATCACGAGTGATGTGAAAGCCAAGGTAGTAGGAGAGAGGTCCGAGGTCACGAAGTTTGAAGCGAGATGAAAGGGCATGCTTGAATGAGGCAAGAAGAGAGGAGGAGGAGGAGAGAATGATGAGGTCGTCAACATAGACGAGAAGCATGAAGAAGGATGCAGCTGTAGGCCGATAAGGTGAGTGAGGAGGAGCAATGAAGAGGCCGGGGTCCGCACGAGCAGCAAAGAGGTGAAAGGCAGCAAGCTCCTCACGAAGCTTGCGGTACCAGCATCGCGGAGCTTGCTTCAACCCGTACAGCGGTTTGTGCAAGAGACAAACTTGCTCAACACCATGGACCGCCGGAAGGTCATAACCGAGAGGTTGCATCATGTAGAGAATCTCATCAAGGGTGCCGTTGAGGAAGGCGTTGGAGATGTCCAGCTGATGGACGTCCAGGTTGAAAGCGGCAGCTATGGTGAGAAACAAGCGGAGGGTGGCGAAGCGGACGGTAGGAGCAAAGGTGTCATGAAAATCAACACCATCACGTTGCTTGAAGCCTTTGACAACAAGGCGGGCTTTGCGGCGTTCAATAGAACCATCAGCGTTCTCCTTGACCTTGAAAATCCATTTGCATGGAATCGGCTTGCACTTGGGTGGTCGAGGAACAATGCTGTAGGTGTCATTAGCGTGCAGGGCAGCGAGTTCCACATCAGCAGCCTTGATCCATTCGGCAGCATCAGGGCCGGTACGAGCCTCATGAATGGTTTGAGGTTCGTAATGATGGTGAAGGGCAGCATTGGCAGAGGTGTTGGAAAGAGGAGGAAGAGTGAAGTCAATGGGTTCGGAAGGGGATGGTAAGACCTTGAGGAAGGAGAAAAGGGAAGGATCGGGAAGAGCTGAAGGGGATGGCGGGGAGGAGCGAGTCGTGCAATGGGGAGGGGGAGGCGAAGAGGGAGGAGAGAAGGATGGAAGGTGAAAGTCTTGCGGCGTCGAGGGCAGAGGAAGGTTGGAAAACAATGGAGGAGGAGAAGATGTGGCTGGTGCGGGCAGGTTTGGGGATTGTGGGTGGGGGTTGGTGGAGGAAGGTATGGTGGGGGAAGGAGAGGGAGGGGAGATTGGGTCCAAGGAAGAAGGGTGTGTAGGAGGAGGTAGTGAGGAGGATGTGGGTGGAGATGACGATGGAGGGTCGCGAGAGTCGTCGGAAGGCGGTGCAGAGGGCTCCATGAAGATGACATCACGAGAAAGGATGACACGGTGCTGAGATGGGATATAGATGCGGTAAGCTTTGGTGCCGTCGAGATGACCATATCCAACCATGATGCCGGCCGTGCTTCGGTCGTCGAGCTTAGACCGCCGTTGGGAAGGAATGAGGACCGAGACGGGTGAACCGAAGATGCGGAGGTGTGATACATCCGGACGTGCACCGGTCCATAGTTCCATGGGAGTCTTAGAAGTTGAACCACCCCGACTAATGGCATGATTACGAAGATAGGCAGCAGTAAGAGCGGCTTCACCCCACCAGCCTTTGTCCATGTGTGCATCATGGAGCATGGAACGGACCATCTCAAGTAAAGTCCGGTTGGCCCGCTCAGCTACTCCATTTTGCTCAGGTGTGTATGGCGTGGAGAGGTGGCGGGCGATGCCATGAGCTGTAAGGAATGAAGTGAAGGCTTTGGAAGTGAACTCCAAGGCACCGTCAGAGCGAAAGGTTTTGATGGTGTGTGGGGAATGCATGTTGTGCACCCGAGTGACGTAAGCCTTGAAGCATGAAAGTGCCTCCGACCGGTGGCGTAGGAGATACACTGTAATGTGGCGGGAGTAGTCGTCGATGAAGGTGAGAAGGTAGCGAGCGCCGCCAATGGTAGTTCCATATGAAAGCGGTCCAGCAATATCTGAGTGAATGAGTTGGAGTGGGGCTGTGGTGCGAGAATGGGACACGCCAAATGGCTGACGTGTTTGTTTCCCACGATAGCACGAGATGCAGGGGGGAATCGAGGTGGAGGAGAGGTGAAGACCGGTGACCAGCTGCTGCCGATGAAGTGTTGACAAGGCCTGCATGTTGAGATGCCCGAAACGACGATGCCAGAGGTACGAGGAGGTGGTGGTGGAGGCTGGACATGCAGTTGGCTTGATAGAAGGAGCAGCACTGCTCCCATGATGCAGTTGAAGATAAAACAGATTGTTGCGGGTGTAGCCCTCGCCAATAGGAACGTCATCAGATGTGAGAACAACGCGCCCAGCAGCGGGGAACGAGACGGCAACGCCGGCAGCACCAAGCGCACGAACAGAGAGCAGGTTGTGAACTGATGAAGGGAGAAATAGAACGTTGTCAAGCTGAATGGTGGTTTCCGATGTTGGTGACCGAAGAGTAGCCACCACCGTGCCGACTCCCAAGACCTTGTAAGTCTCTCCTCCACCAAAACGAACAAGGATCTCTTCGTTGGGCTTCTTGAGAGACGAAAACAGCGAACGATCCGAGCAGATATGGGAGGATGCGCCGCTGTCCACCAGCCACGACGAAGTCCGCTCCATATTGAATGAGGAGGCCGTGAATGCCGATGCGTAGGGAGCCCCATAAGGGAAGAGGAGGAGGAGAAGGAGGATGGTGAGAATGAAGACAGCAGCGACGAGAGGAGTCCATGTGGAGAAGATGGGGTGGTGGCTGGTGCTGACAGCAATGTCCACGTACCGGGAATCAGGTACGGACTGAGGGGTTGATGGGGCAGGAGGTGGTGTGGGGGTCGGAGTAGCTTCAGCAGAGGAGCTGGTGGAGACATGCACCGAGGGTTGGAAGACGGATTTCTCCCGTTTAGAGCTTTCTTCAAGCTCTTTCTTCTTCTTCAATTTGAAGCATTCATCGATGGTGTGACCCGTTTTCTTGCAGTAACGGCAGGTGGGCGACTGGCGTGAACCGGAGCGAAGAGGGTGGGAGGGCTGGGAATTGAGGTTGTATGCACCCTCCATGTTACGGCTTGTACCAGATTGTGACCGCTCCCAATCGGCATCGAGTAGGCGTGACTGTAGGTATTCAACCGTCATAGACTTTATGTCTTTCACGGTGCAAATGGTTTCAGTAAGGGTCTTGAACGAGTCCGGAAGGTTGAGGATGATAGAGATTACCACCACCCATGATGGTAGCTCAAAGCCGGCAGATTTGAGTTGGTGTGTAAGGTTTCCAACTCGATCAAAGTAGGAGCGAAGACTTGTTGTTGGGTCCATCCGTGTAGTGATGAGATCCCGGAGGAGAGCCACTTGTGCATGGTTGCCCATGCAGTCGAACCGCGCCATGATGCATCCCCACATATCCTTTGTCGTGTTGGCTTGAGCAAGAGTGAGCGATAGTTGAGGATGGACGGCTGACATGAGAAGATAGTATGCATGCTCCTCTTTTTCTTCATCCGGCAGCGAAGCAATCGAATGGGCTGTCTTAGGGGCTGCACCGCTGTTGCCTTCGGTAGTCTCTCCACCGCTGGTTGTGGAAGAGGAGATTGAAGGACGCGAAGCAACCTTGGGATCTCCAAGGAGGGAGATCAGCCCGAGGACATTGAAGATGTAGCAGATCTTTTTCTTCCATGGAATGAAGTTGGAACCATCTGGTTCCAAGATGGGAAGGGTGTGCCGACCGAGAGGCGTTTCAACTTGAGCCATGAAGTGTGCAACGTTCACTAAGCTAGAAGCCTTGCTCTGATACCATGTAGAATGAGGATCGGTGAACTTGAGGCACAATGAGAGAAGAACAATATATCCTTAGTAGGAAGATGGTACAAGCCTGAAAGGCTAGAGCAATGTCCTTTCCAAGGATGAGTTCTAGAGAAGTGGGAAGCCACATTTATGTGGCTGAACTCTTGAGGCTAGCTGCAGCACCTCAAAGCTGAGGGCAGGGCTAGCCAACCTTGCCAAGTTAGCAATTGAGGCCACATGTTGCACATGTGGGCCAGGCTGGAACAACAACCTACATGGCAGCATGTGGCACACCATAGGAGCCAACAAGGTGAGTATGGGATGGGTGGACAGATGGCAATGCCGACTGTGACCACACTTCACTGTGGGTGAGTGTGGTGGAGTGTGGGAGTGTCATGTTCGGCATAATGAGAAGAGAAGGTGCTGCCGATGAGAGTTGAACCCGCGACCACTAAGACCAAAGGTACCCACTGGGACATTCTTGCTTCCACAACACTTCTAACCCCAAGGTGCTCTCCCAAGATGCTTCTAACCCCAAGGTGCTCTCCCAAGATGCTTCTAACCCCAAGGTGCTCTCCCAAGATGCTTCTAACCCCAAGGTGCTCTCCCAAGATGCTTCTAACCCCAAGGTGCTCTCCCAAGATGCTTCTAACCCCAAGGTGCTCTCCCAAGATGCTTCTAACCCCAAGGTGCTCTCCCAAGATGCTTCTAACCCCAAGGTGCTCTCCCAAGATGCTTCTAACCCCAAGGTGCTCTCCCAAGATGCTTCTAACCCTAAGGTGCTCTCCCAAGATGCTTCTAACCCCAAGGTGCTCTCCCAAGATGCTTCTAACCCCAAGGTGCTCTCCCAAGATGCTTCTAACCCCAAGGTGCTCTCCCAAGATGCTTCTAACCCCAAGGTGCTCTCCCAAGATGCTTCTAACCCCAAGGTGCTCTCCCAAGATGCTTCTAACCCCAAGGTGCTCTCCCAAGGTGCTCTCCCAAGATGCTTCTAACCCCAAGGTGCTCTCCCAAGATGCTTCTAACCCCAAGGTGCTCTCCCAAGGTGCTCTCCCAAGATGCTTCTAACCCCAAGGTGGTCTCCCAAGGTGCTCTCCTAAGATGCTTCTAACCCCAAGGTGCTCTCCCAAGATGCTCTCCCAAGATGCTTCTAACCCCAAGGTGCTCTCCCAAGATGCTCTCCCAAGATGCTTCTAACCCCAAGGTGCTCTCCCAAGATGCTTCTAACCCCAAGGTGCTCTCCCAAGATGCTTCTAACCCTAAGGTGCTCTCCCAAGATGCTTCTTGTAGAATGAGGATCGGTGAACTTGAGGCACAATGAGAGAAGAACAATATATCCTTAGTAGGAAGATGGTACAAGCCTGAAAGGCTAGAGCAATGTCCTTTCCAAGGATGAGTTCTAGAGAAGTGGGAAGCCACATTTATGTGGCTGAACTCTTGAGGCTAGCTGCAGCACCTCAAAGCTGAGGGCAGGGCTAGCCAACCTTGCCAAGCTAGCAATTGAGGCCACATGTTGCACATGTGGGCCAGGCTGGAACAACAGCCTACATGGCAGCATGTGGCACACCATAGGAGCCAACAAGGTGAGTATGGGATGGGTGGACAGATGGCAATGCCAACTGTGACCACACTTCACTGTGGGTGAGTGTGGTGGAGTGTGGGAGTGTCATGTTCGGCATAATGAGAAGAGAAGGTGCTGCCGATGAGAGTTGAACCCGCGACCACTAAGACCAAAGGTACCCACTGGGACATTCTTGCTTCCACAACACTTCTAACCCCAAGGTGCTCTCCCAAGATGCTTCTAACCCCAAGGTGCTCTCCCAAGATGCTTCTAACCCCAAGGTGCTCTCCCAAGATGCTTCTAACCCCAAGGTGCTCTCCCAAGATGCTTCTAACCCCAAGGTGCTCTCCCAAGATGCTTCTAACCCCAAGGTGCTCTCCCAAGATGCTTCTAACCCCAAGGTGCTCTCCCAAGATGCTTCTAACCCCAAGGTGCTCTCCCAAGATGCTTCTAACCCCAAGGTGCTCTCCCAAGATGCTTCTAACCCTAAGGTGCTCTCCCAAGATGCTTCTAACCCCAAGGTGCTCTCCCAAGATGCTTCTAACCCCAAGGTGCTCTCCCAAGATGCTTCTAACCCCAAGGTGCTCTCCCAAGATGCTTCTAACCCCAAGGTGCTCTCCCAAGATGCTTCTAACCCCAAGGTGCTCTCCCAAGATGCTTCTAACCCCAAGGTGCTCTCCCAAGATGCTTTTGAACTGAGTTGTACGTTCGGATCTTGATCAATTTTTTCGAGGGTTACTGTTTTCACTGGTTGACTATCATCCCTTTGCTAAAGGCGACCTTGCCTACTGCTGCCCTTCTTCATGAGCACAGATCCGAAGGTGCTCTCCCAAGATGCTCTCCCAAGATGCTCTCCCAAGATGCGCTGCCTAAGATGCAATCTCTCACTGCTTGTACGCTTCTTCCTCTCCCACTACACCATCCCCCCCTGTTGTTTTCAGAGGGAGTTGCGGCGGCTGAGCATTCTGGCGCACTCGCACTGGGTGACTCACAGCACCCGCCTGCTCGCCTCCGCCTTCCGCCGCAATCTCATGCACGACCCAGCTCTCACCACCGCCACTCCCCTCCAGGTTCGCTTCTCGTTCGTTCGAGTTAGGTTTCCCTCTCCCTTGGAGGTACGAGCCTTCTTTGGAACCCCAACCAGTGCACTCCACTGTGCAGCACTGGGTGAACCTTACCTTACCCACCGCCGTTCCTTTTTCCGCAATCTCATGCACGACCCAGCTCTCACCGCCACCACTCCCCTCAAGGCTCAACGTACGGGATTCTGTGGAACCCCAGCCTTGGTGCACTGGGATGGGAAGCACGCGCATCCCAGGATTGAAGTCTCACCCACCCACCCAGCGAGCCGGAACTACCCGGCCAGCTCTCAACTGTTCCTCTTCCTATCCCACTCCCCGCTCAGCCGAGGGAGAGGAGGGCAGGCGGACGCCAAGGTGGCGATACGAATGATCCTCCCAGCTTGCCTGCCCCTCTCTACCTCCCCACCCTTCCCCTGTTTCTCCCTGCCCTAAACGTGCCTTTTCTCCAGGGCTGGGAGGAGACGGTGGTGCAGCAGGAGGGGGAGGAGGGCGAGGCCAAGGTGGAGATGCGAATGACCCTGCCGGCATGCCCCTCGCCCTACGTGGCGTCGCTGCTCTTTGCCGCCTCCGCTGATGTGCACCGTGTGGGCTGCCACTCCCTCGACCGCCTCGTCCTCAGGCTGTTTGCCTGGGAACTATCAGACCAGGTGGGGAGAACAGTAGGAGGGGGTGTGTGTGCCTAGAGCCAAGGTGGAGATGCGAATGACCCTGCCAGCCTGCCCCTCGCCCTACGTGGCATCCTGCTCTTTGCTGCTCTTTGCTGCTCTTTGCTGCTCTTTGCTGCTCTTTGCTGCATCAGCTGATGTGCACCGTGTGGGTTGCCACTCCCTCGACCACCTCGTTCTCTGCCTTTTTGCCTGGGAGCTCTCAAACCAGGTATGCTGGACAGTAGGAGGGTGCGTGCCTAAAGAAATGAACCAGACAGGAGCTGTGATGAGCAGCTGGGGGGGTTTGGGCTAAGTGGTGCTGTTTGCTTGGCTCAGTGGTGCTGTTTGCTTGGCTCTTCACTTAGCCGCCCTCCCTTCGTCCCTCCCCTCCCCACCTCCCCGCCTCCCTGCCTTCCCCCCTCCCCTCCCAACAGTTCCTGGGTGCGCACGAGGCTCTTGCCTCCACTCGCCATAAAGGCGTGCTGCAGCTGCAGCGGCTCTTTGGCGCTCGCCTGCTCGCACACATCCGCTCGCCTGCTCGCACACATCCGCTCGCCCTCCCTCATGCCCATCCCTCTTGCGCCCCCCCGTCTCGTTCCTCATGCCCATCCCTCTTGCCCCTCTCCTTCTCCTCCCTCATGCCCATCCCTTCAGGTTCTGCGCGCCTACGAGGCACTTGCCAGCACCAAACGGGCATCAGAAAAGGGAGTGCTGCAGCTGCCCTTTCACGCACACCTGCTGTCAGCCTGTGAATTCAACTCCCTCCCTCCCTTCCCTTATGCCCTTCCTCCCAGGTTTTATCTGCCTACGAGTCTGTCGCCAGCACCAAGCGTGCATCGGGGAAGGGAGTGCTGCAGCTGCTCTTTGACGCTCGCCTGCTGTCAGACGTGAAATCCATGTCCCTGCCTTCCTTCCTCATACCCCTCCCCCCAGGTCCTGGGTGCCTATGAGAATCTTGCCAGCACCAAGCGTGCATCAGAGAAGGGAGTGCTGCAGCTGCTCTTTGACGCTCGCCTGCTGTCAGACGTGCTCTCAGGAGGGGCGGAGTTGCCTCTGGACGCACTCAGAGCGATATCAGGGGCAGCAGCAGAAGGGGGTGAAGGAGGGGGAGCAAGAGCAGGGGCAGCAGCGGACAGGGGAGCTGGGGCAGGGGCAGCAGGGGGGGCTGTAGCAAGGGCAGGTTCAGGAGGGGGAGCAGGGGCAGGGGCAGGGGCAGGGGCAGGGGCAGGGGCAGGGGCAGGGGCAGGGGCGGGGAGCATTGGTGTGTCGGTTGCGGCGAGGAAGAAACGAGTTGCAGCGCTGCTGGAGAAGCTGCAGGAGGAACTGGACCCCATCGACCGAGCCGCGTGAGTTTCATTTCATTGGTCCCCCCCCCCCCCCCCCCCCCCGTGCACATTCTGCCAACTTGTTATCGTTGACGAGTGGCATGGCAGCGCTGCTGCTGGAGAAGCTGCAAGGGGAGCTGGACTGGTCCCCATCGATAGGGAGCTGGACTGGGCCCCATCGATAGGGCCGCGTGAGTTGCACTGACTCCTCGTGCACACATGCAGCGAGCTCCCATCCCAGGTCTGAATGAAAGAGTGGCCGCGCTGCTGGACAAAGCTGCAGAGCCACGTGAGTCGGTTGAGAAATGCAGGTGGGGTGCACGGAACTGAACGACACCCTGTATGCAGGTGGGGTGCACGGAACTGAACGACACCCTGTATGCAGGTGGGGTGCACGGAACTGAACGACACCCTATGCTTAGATCAGACCGGTGTACAGCCCACTCTCATATCTGCTCCTCCCTCCTCCCCCCTCCCCTCCCCACTTCCCAGCTATCTGCCCTTCCTGTGGCAGAACCAGCAGCGATTCTACCGGCGCTCAGCTGTGCTCTTGGGCCATCTGTCTCAGCTGAATGGTCTCTACACCAATGCTGCACTCTGCATTATACCAACTCTACACCCTGGTGCAGCAGTCCTCTTTGGCCATCCCACTCAGCTGTAAATCACTCCCCACGTTTTCCCTCTCCCCATTCCCCCTCCCTCCCTCCCCTCCCTCTCCCTTCGTCCGCCCCCAGCTACCTGCCGTTCCTGTGGCAGAACCAGCAGCGGTTCTACCTGCGCTCGGCAGTGCTCTTCGGTCATCTGGCCCAGCTGCATCGCCTCTACACCGATGCTGCACCGCGCCATCCCTACGCCACAGACGCCAACACCCTGGATACCGCTCCCACCGTTCCACGCTTCACCTTCCTGCCCATAAGGTAAATTGCTTGCGGTCTTTCTTGTACTGTTCATCTCATTTGTACCAACCCTACACCGCACCATCCCCACGCCACAGACGCCAACACTCTTGGCACTGCCCCTTCGCCTTCCTCTCAAAATGCAAGCTCAAAAGTGATATTAGTACAACTTATGAGGTGCATCAAAAGCAAATTTTATTGTGATATGATTGTAGCTTCAAATAGAATTCTGCACCCCACCGCCATAATGCCACCCTACTCCCTCCTTCCCCCTCCCTTAACCTCAACCATCTTTGACCCTCCTCCCAACCTCCCTTTTCTCCCTTTCCTTTTCCCCTCTCCCTTTCCCCCCTTCCCTCCCGCCACCCCCTCCCTTTCCCCCCTTCCCTTCCCCCACCCCCTCCCTTTCCCCTCCCCTCCATCCCCCCCTCTTTCCCCAGCTCGCCTCTTCTGACCAATGCCGGGCTGCCACCTGGCAGAAAGCATTATTTAAGGCGCCTCAAAAGCCCCTTTCTCCCCTTCACCCCCATCTTCCTCCAGCTCCCCGCTTCTGGCCAATGGCGGGCTGGCACCTGGCGGTAAGCCCCGCCGTCCATCCACCTTTGGAGATGTCTCGCTATCCGTTTCTGGTTCCAGCAGCAACAGTGGCGCTCCAGTGTCCCGTGTGCCTAGTGGGGCAGGGGCGGCTGCAGCAGCAAGTGGTGTCGGTGGTGGTGGGTTTGGAGGGGTGGGTAGCGGTGCTTGGGGAGAAGATGGGGCTCTTGGAGGGGCGTTCTCGTTCGCAGATTCGACGGGGCTTTCTGCTACACCCATTTTCAAGTCACTTATGGGTCAGGTAATTACCGCATTCTGTTCATTACCTCTGATAAGGACTTCTGTAAATTATTCTTTGTTTCCAGGCATTCTGTGTGTGCTTTCTGCTACCTGCCCCCCTTTCGATGCCGCATCGGCCTCAGCTTACAATCTTCCCCTGTTGCTCCCACCTGAATGCAGGTCAAACTGGGGTCAATTCTCGGGGATGGCAGCCAAGTCACGCGCAACATTTCAAACCTACAGGAGATGTTCAACCAGCCGTCGCAGGCAGCTGGGCTGTTCTCATCACTTACAAGTGCCGCTGCTGGGAGCTCCTCTCGCCTGCAAGAGCTGTTTTGATACCAAAGCAGTACCGCCAGTGTGATTAGAAAGACTTTCTCCAGTTTTAAACCAACCATTACAAGCAGGTGCGCTATCCTCGTCACTTGCGAGTGCGGCTTCCGGCAGTTTCTCTCGCCTGCAGGAAGAACAGTACAGTACCACTTCACAACCAGCCATTGCATGCAGCTGGACTGGACCGTTCTTGTCGCTTACAAGTGCGGTTGTCGTCTCATCTTGCTTGCAAGAGCTGTTTTTATTCAGTCACAGTACCACCAACAGCGCTAGAAAAGTTCAATAGTGTGCGTCGCGTGGGACTTTGTTTCTGCATGCATTTTTCCACAAGCGAAGGGGAGAGGACAATGTGGCAGCTAACAAATCCTGCTGGTGCTGAATATGTAATCGGCACAGTGCGTCATACCAATTGTCTTTACGAAAATCAAGGTGTTCTTCACAAGAATCAGTAGAGTACACTCTCACGACAAATGTGCAAATGTACATGCTCAAGTCATCTGCGAGAGTGGGACAGCCGACAAAATTAGATTGTCATTCATGCTGAATTTATTTCCATCCCTCACATTTCGTTATCTTGGGTGTTGTAATGGACACTGATCACCAACTACACGCCATGGTAGTTGGAAACCAAGTTAGTACGAAGTTTCTACTTGCGCGGCGCGGTGGCTCTCTAGGCAGGGCAGCGCGGTGGCGTGCAGGGCAGGGCAGCACGGTGGCGCGCAGGGCAGGGCAGCGCGCTAGTGCGTAGGGGAGGATGGTGCGGTGGCGCGCTAGGCAGGGTAGCGCGGCGGTGTGCGTGGTACGGGGGGGTACAGACCTAACCTGGTCGTAGTTGGTAGTAGGTTCGATAGTAGGTTCGGCAGGCGGGCCTAACCTAGTGTCTGATACCATATCAGAATCATAGGTCAGCGGAACGATGAAGTTAGAGCAATGGGGAGTACAAGTACTAACCCTAATGGGTTGTACCTTCTATGGGCTACCCCACTACAGCCTAGACAATCGATAAACATGTTTTGACAGTGTGATATAGGATGCCGTCGAATAGTCGATGCCCGTCATTCGTATATCGACCAAGATCCGTCGAGCACGGATGCAGTAGTCCGTCGCCGACTCCTGCTCGCCCATTCTGAGGTGAGTCAGACGCTCCTCAAGCTGACCGATGTAGAGATCGTCGGTCGTCTGTTACGTCGACATGATAAACCGTTACGCCTAGTGGTCGGCGTCCGGTTGAAGCCGACACGGCTTCAGAGCGATCTGCACCATCCGCGAAGAGCAGAGCAAGATGACCATGAAGGTCAGCAAGTGAGCCGCGAGGAACTCTGCCTGCTGCTCGACATCGTCCTTGTCCGGTGTCACCACTTCGCCATCAGCGAAACATTTTAGCCCCGCAATCTCCAGCTGGGGCTCAATCAACTCCCTCTACGTCATCAGGTATCGACGACCTTCCAGCAGCGCGGGCACGACATTTTTGTCCGGCGAAAATTTCAAAAGTAGCCATAGGCCGGCGCAATCCTGCCTGCGTCACGTTCGAGGAGCCTGGCCTTGCGGAGAATGCTATTCTACGGGATAGCTTGTCAAACAATAATGCTACTTGTGTTGTGTAGGCTATAGTGGGGTAGCCAATATGGGGTACAACCCAATTAGGGTTATACTTGTACTCAGTTTGATGTCAATGCAATCATTCCTGCTCGTTATTTTCTGACATGGTTTCAGAGCAGTAGGTCCGTAGGACCATTTTTTTTCGGGCCCACCATTACCTAGTGACCAACTGCGGTTACCGCATTAACCCACGCCCTGCCCTGCGCTGCGCCTATAGCGCGCGCCATGCCCTGCCCTCCCTTGCGTCGCGCTGCCCCGCGCACGCCCTGCCTTGCCTTGCGTCGCGCTGCCCCGCGCACGCCCTGCCCTGCCTTGCGTCGCGCTGCCCCGCGCACGCCCTGCCCTGCCCCGCGTTGCGCTGCCCCGCACGGGCTCTGCCCTGCCCCGCGTCCTGCTGCAGCTCGCGCCCTGCTGCCCTGCGCGTCGCACCCTGCTGCAGCCCGCAACTCGCGCCCTGCTGCCTTGCGCGTCGCGCCCTGCTGCCTTGCGCGTCGCTCCCTACGTCTGCCCCGCGCGTCGCGACCTGCTGCAGCCAGCACGTCGCGCCCTACTGCCCCGCACGTCGTGCCCAACTGCCCCGCGTGTCGCGCCCTGCTGCAGCCTGCCGTCGCGCCTTGATGCAGCCCGCGCGTCGCGCCCTGCTGCCCCGCGCATCACGCCCTGTTGCAGCCTGCGTGTCGCGCCCTGCTGCAGCCCGCGCGTCGCGCTCTCCTGCAGCCCGCTCGCCGCGCCCTGCTGCCCACGCGTCTCGCCCTGCTGCAGCCTGCGCATCGCGCCCTGCTGCCCTGCACACCGCGCGCCCTGCTGCCTGCGCCGCCCAGGCCGAGTCGCGCCGCCTAGCCCGAGCCGCCCTGCCCAACCCGATCCACCCTGCTGCTGCTGCTGCTGCTGCTGCTGCTGCTGCTGCTGCTGCTGGTGGTGGAGGTACTACTAGGAGTGCTGGAGGTGCTGCAGCCTAGCCTCACCGAGCCGCTCTGCTGCTATTACTACTGCTACTGCTGCTCATGCTACTGCCTTCCCTCCGTACTGCCCTACTGGTCGCACGCCTCCTTACTTGGCCCGCTATGAATTCTCTTCGTGGTAGTGGTCGGAGCGGTGACGGCGGTGGTGATAGCAGCTGGAGTGGTGGCGGCGGCCGTCGTGGCAGTCGCGGTGGAGCTGTTCGGTGTGGAGTTTCTGGCGGTGGCCAGATGCAGCTGCTTCGGCGTCCGCGCGAGACCCTTACGCCCCAGCAGCTTCATGAGTGGTACGCCAGTAGGTGTGGTGGCGGCGGCCGTAGTAGCAGTCGTAGTGGAGCTGTTCAGTGCACAGTTTCTGGCGGTGGCCAGATGCAGCTGCAGCGGCATCCGCGCGAAACCCTTACGCCCCAACAGCTTCGTGAGAGGTACACTCAAAGTGGGGGAACTTGGAGTACTGTCCGCTGTCCGTACGTCATTTGCACAGGTGATCGGGCTGGTCAGACTTGCGGGACACTTGGTCACACACAGGCTCACTGCTTTGCCTGTCTGAGCGACGCTTGGCGTGCAGTGTTTGGCGACGAGGCTGAGCTCCCCCGCTGGCTAGAGCTGCTTAGGAGCAAGGTGAATATCTTTGCTCTAGACTATGACACTATCCTCACTGCCATGTATGCTTTGTCTATTAGTACTCAGAGTGACTGTTACCTGTGTGTGCCGCCCGACCCTGGTGTTGCGGCTACTGCTTTAGGTGTTGGTGAGTCTGCTCTAGGTGTTGGTGAGTCTGCTCTAGGTGCTGGTGAGTCTGCTCTCTCTGGTAGTGCACCTTTTGAGGCCTTGCACACCTTCACGCTTGACTCAGGTGCTTCCCGTTGCTTCTTTCGCGACAGCACCACAGTCACACCGCTAGTAGCACTGGTTGCAGTCTCTCTGGCTGATCCCTCTGGGGCACAGCGTGTCGCGATCTGCACATGTGCACGGACGGGCCGTCACCTGGCCACGTTCACCCATCCGCCTGGGTCGAGCCTGTACACACGGACTACTAAGCCTCATCAGGTAGCTGCGTCTGCATCTTCATCGGGTCAGCTAGCAGCCCCATGTTCGTGTCGCCTCCTGTCGCACCAGACTCTCCTTTGGCACCACCACCTAGGTCACCCCTCCCTGCCACGCCTTCGTGGCATGCACTCCCGCCTCCTTGTCTCTGGTCTTCCCAGGTCTCTGCCTCCCCTCCCGCCCTCGCCTGCCCCTCCCTGCCTTCCTTGTGTCGAGGGGCGGCAGCGCGCCGCTCCTCACTCCTCCTCGTTTCCCATGACGACTGCTCCCCTGCAGACTCTCCACTTGGACGTGTGGGGCCCAGCCCGTGTCCTAGGACAGGGCCGCGAGCGATACTTTTTGCTGGTTGTTGACGACTACTCACGTTACACCACGGTCTTCCCCTTGCGCAGCAAGGTGAGGTCCCTGATGTCTTGATCCCTTGGATCCGCGCTGTCCGTCTCCAGCTTCACGAGCGGTTCAACACGGACCTTCCTGTCCTGCGTCTGCACTCTGACAGAGGTGGTGAGTTTTCCTCTGACCTCTTGCGGGACTTTTGTCGTGGGGAGGGTATTCGCCAGACGTTCACGCTTCCGGCCTCTCCGTAGCAGAATGAGCGCCACATTGGCCTAGTCATGGAGGTCGCTCGTACCTCCATGATCCATGTGGCTGACCCCCATTTTCTGTGGCCGTTTGCGGTCTGGTACGCTGCGTATCAGCTCAACCTCTGGCCTCGTATCTCCTTGCCGGAGACCTTGCTGACACTGCGTTGGACGGGAGAGGTTGGCGATGTGTCAGTGTTCCGGGTCTGGGGATCTCGTGCCTTTGTTCACGATACCTCCGCGGACAAGCTCTCCGCCCGCGCCATTCCCAGTGTCTTCCTTGGTTTTCCCCCTGACGCGTCCGGTTGGCAGTTTTACCACCCCGCCTCGCGCCGTGTCCTGCCCTCTCAGGACGTCACGTTTGACGAGTCGGTTCCCTTTTACCGTCTCTTCCCCTACCGCACCGCACCTCCCCCTTCCCCGCCGCTCTTCCTTGCTCTAGGTCCCCCTCCGGTGGACCCCCTCCCCGCTCAGGGTCCTGCTCCTTCAGATGTGTCTCAGGTAGACCCACTCCCCTTGGTTGAGCCTATCGAGGTCACTGGTTATTCTTGTGCTGCTGGGTGTGCTGAGCCTGAGCAGAGGAGCCTAGGGGTGCTGAGCTTGTGCGCGAGGAGCCTCGGGGTGCTAAGCCTTCGATTGCGGAGCCTGAGCGTGAGGAGCCTGGAGGTGCTGAGCCTGCGAGTGTGGAGCCTGGGGGTGCTGCGTTTAAGCGTGCGGAGCCTGGGGGTGCTGAGCCTGAGCGTGCGGAGCGTGGGGGTGCTGAGTTTGGGGTAGCTGAGCCTAGGGGTCCTGCGTCTACACTACGAGAGCCTCTCTCACC